CGCATTTCGAACACGCTACGGATCCTTCGAATACACCATCATGCCCTTCGGACTGACCAACGCCCCCGCCACTTTTCAAATGACCATGAACGAAGCTTTCCGCCCGCTCTTAGATAAGTGTGTCATAGTATACCTGGACGACATAATGATTTACAGCCCTGACAGAGCACAACACTTACAGGACATCGAAGCAGTTTTGAAAATACTGAGTGAGAGCCGCCTACTGACCAAAGCGTCTAAGTGTGAGTTTTTACAGGACCGCCTGGAGTTTTTGGGACACGTTATTTCAGCTGCAGGAGTGGAAATAGAAGAAAATTGCGACGATTCAAGCATGGCACGCGCCGACCAACTTGACCGAGTTGCAGAGTTTTTTGGGGTTCGTCAACTACGTGCGCCGCTTCGTCCCCGACATGGTGAAGCTGATTGCCCCGCTAACAGACCTGCTGAGGAAAGGGGTTGAGTACACGTGGGGGGAGAAAGAGCAAGCTGCCTTCTCGGCCCTCAAAAACATTTTGTGCTCACCGCCCGTGCTTCACATCGCAGATCCACACCGTCCGTTCGAGCGCGCACTGACGCAAGTGACATCGCTGTGGGAGCAGTACTGTTGCAGGACTTCGGGAACGGCCTCCAGCCAATCGCGTACGAGTCCCGCAAGCTGCACCCGCCCGAACGCAACTACCCGATACACGACCGCGAAATGTTGGCGATCGTGCACGCGTTCAAGGTTTGGCGGTGTTACCTGACTGGCGCCAACGTGACTGTACGGACAAACCACCGACCACTACAGTACCTACGCGCCCAACCAAATCTCAATCCGCGACAGATTCGCTGGTTGGACTACCTCGAGTCCAACTTCCACTGCACGGTTACGTACAAGAAAGGCGCCTCCAACATCGCCAACGCACTCACTCGCCCTACCGCCCAACTCCATGCCATCCTACTCGCCCAAACCAACCCGCTTTTAACAGGCCTATTCACCCACGGATACCGCACCGACCCGTTTTTCACGACCGGAAATTCACAGCAACTGGCAGAAGCTAAAGGAGTTTATTACGTAAAAACAGGCACCAACCGCATCTGGGTACCCGCGTACTCACTACTGAGGGAGCTGCTAATGTAGGAGGCACACGACGGAATTACCTCGGGACATTTTGGTGTAGAAAAAACGCGACGGCAACTACAGTAGTATTACTACTGGCCGGAGCTGTTGAGCGATGTGCAGCAGCATGCGGGCTCATGCCCCACGTGTCAAGTGATGAAGAGCTCGAGGAAGCGGAAGGCGGGTAAATTGCAGCCGATACCACCGCCCGAGCGCGCCTGGCAGCAGGTTACCATAGACTTGGTCACAGGGTTACCTTCGAACCCTGGGGGTAACGACGCGGTGATGGTCGTCGTTGACAGGTTGACGAAGATGGCACACTTCGCTGCGTGCAAAAAGTCGATCTCAGCCGAGGAGACCGCTCGTCTGTTCATCGCAGCCGTTGTTCGCCTACACGGGATACCAGTAGCGATTATCAGCGACAGGGACACGAAGTTCACCAGCAACTTCTGGAAGAACCTCTGGGAGCAGTTCGGAACCAGGCTACGGTTCAGTTCGTCGTACCACCCCGAGACCGACGGTCAAACGGAGCGGACGAATCAGACGATGGAGCAGTTGATTCGTGCCACGTGCGACGACCCCACGACTTGGGAGCAGCAGCTGCCGCTGATCGAGTTCGCGTACAACAATGCCACGTCAGCGACGATGCAGCAGTCCCCCTTCTACCTGAACTACGGGCAAAATCCTATAGTGCCCATGACGCCGAGTCCGGACAACCCAACACCACGCGCACAACAATTCGCCGAAATTCTGCAAGCTGCCCGCACCAGAGCCGCAGAAGCAATTAAAAAAGCAGACGTCATCGCTAAGCGCAAAGCTGACCGCCACCGCCGCCCAGTCACATACCAGTCAGGGGATTACGTACTACTCGACACGCAAAATCTGCGACTGCCCGACGTGCCAAAACTTCGACCGCACTACTGTGGCCCATTCCAAATCAGCCACATGATTACGCCAGTAATCGCGCACCTACTGTTACCAACCGACTGGTACACCAGCCCTTCGTTCCACGTCAGCTTGCTTCGCCCATACATCCCAACCACAAGCCAACTGCCTCGCCACCGCCCGCCATCCATGACTCGCCCTGCATCAGAGCCGATCATTGAACCTGAAAAAATCCAGAGTCATCGGATTCGCCACCCCACGGGAATTAGGAGGATTGAATTCCTCGTTCGCTGAAAGGACCGCACGCCAACTGAAGATAGATGGGTGCCCCTGGCCAACATTGAAAACCACCCTGCCCTGCAAGTGTACATGAGGAGCCGGGGATTCCGCGATATACACGCACTCGCGTAGCGGAGGGGGCTTCTTGAGGGGGGGGGGGGGGGGGGGTAGTGTAAGGAATTTTCTCGGCATTCCTTACAGAGCCCGACTACATCGCGTACAGCAACAGCCGTTGTTCGCCCGTTACTGCTAACGGAACTTCGCCAACTTCGCGCGCACTGTTTTGCCAAACCTCGCACTGCTGGCCCGGCCGTGTCGGCCTACGCTTCGGGACTAGCCCGAGCCTCGCTGCGAGCATAGCACTAGCTAGCTCGCACGCACCGCGTTACAGTTTGCATGTTTCGCGTATAAATGTTCGCTCATGCCTTCGCTCACATCTTTGTACTCGTTTGACACCTTGTGCAATTCTCGCTACTTCGATTCATTGCACACATAACACTGTTAAAGAGTCGACTCTGATTCGGCCACCTGTCGTTGTTCGCGAAAAATATGATGACTATTTAGTCGTCTAAAATTCGGCCACACCCTATTTTCGGAATTGTGTGGCGATTTAAAACCTGCGTGTCAAGAAAGCCAAAAGTGGTTCATCCTTCCTAAGGCTGGTTGGGTGTTACCCGGTTTCCAGCGGAGGCAACTTTTCAAACACCAAACCTGGTCGCGAACATTCAACAAATGAGAACACTGTAGCAGCGACAAGAGTCCAGTTCAATCTCATCGCACGGTACTATCGCCCAACACCAACCTCCGTATACATGAGGCACACAGGCAAGAGAAACTTGTCCCAAAAACGCCAGTGATTAGTCTCGAGTTTAGGACCCACTATTAGACGCGCGCAACCCGCCTACTAGCCAACTTACCTACTTTCGGGCGCTCACAAATCTCGAAATACAAAAGGTAGGGGTATGCGAAAGTCGCGGAAACCAACATTGCCGGAAATATAGGCTTGCGTGGTGACATTAGCATACCGATGGCCACGATTTGACCTGCAGAGCAATGCGACGTCGCATTTCGGTTACGATTTGCATAGCAGGACAATGCGGCGGTCCCATTTTGGTCACGATGTGCCCTGCAAAGCAATCCGCGTCGCATTTAGGGTACGATTAGACTTGCAGGGCAACGCGACGGCGCCCTTAGGACACGATTTGTCCTGCAGGGCAACGCGACGGCGCCCTTAGGTCACAGTTTGCCCTGCCTCGCAACGCGACCTACGGGCAGGCGGAGGTGCATGGGCAGGGAGGACCGCGTGGGCAGGGAAAAGCACCTGGCTCACGTCCGCCTCTCTCACCCTCCGCCTCTCACACCCTCCGCCTCTCACACCCTCAGCCTCTCACACCCTCCGCCTCTCACACCCTCCGCCTCTCACACCCTCCGCCTCTCACACCCTGCGCATCTCACCCCCTCCGCGTCTCACCACCTCGGCATCTCACCCCCTCCGCACGCGTCCTCTCACTCACGTGCCCTCTCATTCACCTCTGCCACTCACTCACCGCTGCCTCTCACTCACCTCTGTTTCCCACACACCTCCACCACCCACTTACCACTGCCTCACACTCCCCTCCGTCCCCTCATAACCCCCCCCATCCTACTCAGCAACTTCTTCTCACTCCTTCTGCTCGTACTTTATCACTCCTCCCCTGTGTACCCTTCATCTCTCCCCACATGGCAGTTTGTGGTTGCAGCATTGGCAAAAGTACAATCATGGGGAGATGCATTGGCAGGGGGCGTAGCTTGGGCATGGGGAGATGCATCGGCAGGGGGGGTAGCGGGGGCTTGGGGAGATACACTCATTACTGCCACCCACTCACATCTGCCTCTCACTCCCCCACGCCAACCACTGCCCTACCCCGCCCACACCCTTCCGCCACTCACTCACTATCCGCCTCTTCTTTGACTTGACATTACTCACCCACCTCTTCTTCTCCCCCCTATGGCAGCTTGTGTTTGCAGCATTTCAAATGGGTAAGTTGGTGATTGTATTGCATGAATATCACCTAATGTGATATTCTAGTTAAGGGTCAAGTGTGAGATAATTCTGCCCGCATTAATTTGTGATTTATTTTTAATTGATATAGCAGTTTTTATCAACCAAAGACAAATTGGGGCGCCGTCACCATGTGTTGAGTTGAGACTAAGCATTGCTATGAAAGTAATTAACAATGTCAGCAACACTTACAGAAGTTTGTAATAAATTTAGTTTCCTAAGCCCAACTACCATCATTACACTACTGCAACATTTCCGCTCTTGGCTTGGGGTACCGTCCGATGTGCGATACTCTGTCGCAACTCTGGGTTTGTGCGATACTCAGATAGGCTCAGGTAACACCCACGAACTCTACTCCTCTCGCTGACTCTCGCATTCAATCTCGGCAACCTCTCGGTTCGCGGGCCAATCCAGGCACTAACCCCAATCAACCTTCCTAACCTTGAAAATTGTGGCCTGCGGGTACGCCCTAACATTTCAACATCGCTTCGAAAATCAAATTTCACCATCCAACAACAGCACGACTTTCACATGGCACACAGGATTCCTGCTTGCACGAACTAGTGCTACAATTGAGGTGATTTTTTCTTGCCGTTGGCTGAGAAAACTCGCGCGCTTTTGCGGACGGCTTGGTTTCCCGCGTGACCTCTGCGCGTAATAGGTTTGCGAACGTGACTTCTCTGCGCGGGTGGCGTCATGGCTGAGCCGGAACGGGTCCGCCTTCCCGCGCGGTCCACCCGCGGAAAACGGTGAGCCGTCATGGGGAAGAGGTAGGAACGTGGGTTGCTTACTGCTGTAACGAGGGAGCACCCAGCTCGTTGTTGGGTCGCAGGGAGTTTTTGAGAATTCTCAAAAACTCCCTGCAACGTGAGTTGCTTACTGCTGTAACTAGGTAGCAGCCAGCTCGTTGTTGGGTAAGAGAACTACGAGGCGCAGATGAGAAATCCTTGTCCTGACTCCGTCATCCCTCTCTCAAGTGGCGCCTTTTCCTTTTCCTTTCCCTTCCCTCTTCCCCCTTTCCTTCATTCCTCCACTCCTGTCCCCTTTCCTCACAATCATATTTGCGGTTTCCCCTATCCCCCAACTGCTTGCGCCAATCAGAGTGTCGGAGCTGGTGGGGGAGGATCTAGACGCGGATGAGGAGTTTTGGAATCAGAAGGCTTTCCAGGAGGTGAGCTGGCATGCTGACGTGGATCTGTTGACTCAAAAGACCGCTGGTGGTGGGAGGAGGGAGGGGGGGGGAGGGGGGTTGAAGGATCTAGACGCGGGTGAGGAGTTTTTGAATCAAAAAGGCCTTTCAAGAGGTAAGTGGGACTGCTCACGTCGATTTTGAAGTTTCAGTCATTAGTTGGGTAAATGGCCTGCTGACGTGGATTTCAGCTACCAATGATGAGATTTGTGAGTGAGTCTGCTGACCTGGATTTTAACCACTTGTTATGAGTTCGGTAGGTACGGTGGATGGGTACATGGACGTGCTCTCTGACGTGGTCTGTAAATCTACATGACAATCCTGTTTTACATGTATGTATCCACAGGAAGCAGAGGATGCAGAGAATGCGATGGAGAGTGAGGTGGAGGATGACGTTTTTCGAATGTCTGAAGTACATGTACTCGTTTTACATGAGTGTATGTGATGTTGACATACCACAGGAAGCAGAGGATGCAGAGTATGAAATGGAGAGCGAGGAGGAGGACGGTTAAATGTGTGGAAAACCACTTATCTGTTTTACCGTACATATATGATTTGATTGTGATAATGATAACACAGGAGGCAGAGGATGCAGAGTATGCGATGGAGGGCGAGGTGGAGGAGGACGTTTTTCGAATGTGTGAAATACATGTACTTGTTTTACATGTGTATATGTGTACATGTGCATGTGTATATGTGATGTTGACATACCACAGGAAGCAGAGGATGTGGAGTATGCAACGGAGGGCGAGGTGGATGAGGACGTTTTCGACAGCGACTTTGATGATGACGTGAGCATGATGGGTGTGATGACGTGAGCATGATGGGTGTGATGTGACGTGAGCGACTTGTTATAGGAAAACCTCCTTCTCACACATGCCTCTTTGTCGCACAATTTACATGGTTTCTCACCACCTTGATAATCACACCATGTTTCGCACTCCTCTGTTTTTCTCTTTCTCTCTGATCTTGCATATGTGTATGCGCGTGACAGGAGCCAGAAAACGAGGAGGAGGAGCCTGGAGCAGAGGTGAAAGAAAGGTCTGCCTCTCCCGTTATCCTCTCTCCTGCCGCATCCCCTCCCTCGTCTCTCTTCCCATGTTCCTTCCTTTCCATGCCTCTTTCCCTTTCCCTTTCCGCACATTTTCCCCCATATCATCCATCTCCGAGACACCAGTACCCAAGCCCTTACCTCAAACCTTGATTTCTTTCACTCTCGTTCATCATGTTTCTTCATCAGTTGTTCTCTCTTCACCTGCCCCACCAGCCCCACCTGCCCCACCTGCCCCACCTGCCCCACCAGGCCTACCAGGCGCCGTCTCCTGCCTCCTGGCACAAAGAAAAAGCTCAAGAAGCCAAAAAAATCAAACTCCATGGTCAATAGCAACTCTCACCTCTCCCTTCTCTCCTAACCTGTCTCTCGTCGTCTGCCCCACCAGGTCTACCAAGCGCCGTCTCCTGCCTCCTGGCACCAAGAAAGAAACCAAGGAAGGAGTCTGCAAAGAGGGCGAAGAAGGGCCTCCTTCATTTCCCCTCATCCTCTCCTTGCCTGCCCCACCTGCCCCACCTGCCCCACTCACCTGCCCCGCCTGCCCCACCTGCCCCACCTTCCCCACTCACCTGCCCCACCTGCCCCACTCACCTGCCCCACCTGCCCCACTCACCTGCCCCACCAGGCCTACCAAGCGCCGTCTCCTGCCTCCCGGCACCAAGAAACTTTCCAAAAAGCCTAAGAAACCTGCTAAGGCAGCAAAGAAGGGCGTTGGTGGAAGGACGCTTGTTGCAGAGAAGGGGAAAGCGAGCGGAAGGGTTGACGGGGAGGCGACAGGTGATGGGGCGGAGGCGGAGAAGGGGAAGAGTAAAGCTGGGAGGAGGAGTGGCGTGGGAAAGAGTAGGCAGAGACGTGAGTTGGCTCTTCTGGGAGTGGGGCGAGTGAAATGGGAAGGGGCGGAGGGAGGTGAGGGAGAGGAGAGAGAGGAGCGAGAGGAAGGAGAGGAGGGAGAGGAGGGAGAGGAGCTTATTGGTGATGCGACAGTAGATCTGACAGACGAAAATTGGGGGGGAGGGGGAGGAGGGAGAGAGGGAGGCGGGAGGGAGGGAGGAGGGATGGAGAGGAGGAAGTCAAGGAGGACAGCGGTGGTGGTGAGGGACATGGAGAGGCAGGCTTTGAGGGCAGCGAGGGAGGGGGTACCCAAGGCGGTGAGAAAGAGGAAGGAGGGCGAGCGGCGGTGGACACAAGAAGAGATGCTTCTAGAGGCTGCACAGACAGGTACGGTGCGGTTCAGGGGCGGTGCGGTGCGGTTCAGGGGGGTGGGCAGTGGTTACAGCCTTGGGCATATTACTTGAGCGCAGGTAAGGCTGTAGGGGCTCTGAGGGCTGCGAGGGAGGGGGCGAGCGGTGGTGGACGCAGGAGGAAATGCTTCTGGAGGCGGCACAGGCAGGTGGGTTGCAGTTGAGAGCTTTTTCCATGGCTGAGAGGTGCGCGTGCGAGGCGGTGAGGAAGGTTAAGGAAGGCCTGCGGCGGTGGACACAGGAGGAGATGCTTCTCGAGGCTGCACAGACAGGAAGGTGGGGTGGGGTGGGGTGCGGTTCAGGGGGTGGGTGCAGGTGGATTCGGGGTTCAGGGCTTTTGATATGAGCTTGAGATGGGCCACAGAGGTACTAGCAAAGGAAGGTGCAGTTAAGTCGGTGAGGCTAATTGCATGCATGGCTGTCCGTGCTTGCTCACTCTCCTTGTGCCCTATCACGCCCATTGCAGAGGTTCTGAACCGGGAAGCGTTGGGAGTGATGCTGGGGGAGGGAGGAGGAGGTGAAGAGGAAGGCTGTGGTGGAGAAGGGGGGATGCATGGGGCCTCCTCTTATCCAGATTCGTCCCATTCCCCTTCTCCCGCATCATTGTTCCACTGACAACCCGTCTTTTGAGGCGCCTCAAAAGTCGTCCCATTCCCTTCTCCCGCATCATTGTTCCACTGACAACCCATCACAGAGATTCTGGTGTGTTTTGAGTCGACTCAAAACACACCTTCTCCCGCATCATTGTTCCACTGACAACCCATCACAGAGATTCTGGTGTGTTTTGAGTCGACTCAAAACAAACCTTCTCCCGCATCATTGTTCCACTGACAACCCATCACAGAGATTCTGGTGTGTTTTGAGTCGACTCAAAACAAACCTTCTCCCGCATCATTGTTCCACTGACAACCCATCACAGAGATTCTGGTGTGTTTTGAGTCGACTCAAAACAAACCTTCTCCCGCATCATTGTTCCACTGACAACCCATCACAGAGATTCTGGTGTGTTTTGAGTCGACTCAAAACAAACCTTCTCCCGCATCATTGTTCCACTGACAACCCATGACAGAGATTCTAAACCGAGAGGCCCTGGCAGTGATGCTGGCGAGGGAGGAGGAGGTGAAGCGGAAGGCCGTTGTGGAAAAGGCAATCTTTGGTGGGCCGCAGATCCGATTCCACTCCAAGGACGGTGAGATCAAATCAAATCTTATTCCAGAAAGGCATTCTGTTGTTGAATAGCAGATTGATTCCACCCGAAGGGCAGTGCAAGCAACCACTCTCCCCCCCCCCCCCTCCCCCTTCCCCACCCACCTCCCGCTTTCCCTTCCCCACACACCCTCCTCTTCCCCCCCCTTCTTCCGCCCCCCCTGGACCCAACCGAATTCCCTTGACAGGGAAGAACACCCTTGAGTTTACCAAAGTGGCGGCTGTTCTTGAGGTGCCTCAAAACTCCCCCTCCTTCTCCCTCCCTCCCACCCTTTCCTCTTCTACCGGACCTTATTAATTCAACTTCACAGGGAAGAACACCCTGGAGTTCACCAAAGTGGCGGCTGTTCCTCCAGAGATCAACGCAAAGGCGCCTTCCTGTACGTCCCCACTAGCAAACCCCCCCCCCCAACGGCTTTTGGAGTGACTTTTTTGAGTCACCTCAGAAGTCACCTTTTGAGTCGAATCAAAAGTCCCCTCCAGAGATAAAACGCAAGAGCGCCTTTCTGTACCTCCCCACTAGCAACTCTTTCTCAGCGGCTCCTGTTCCTTCTGTGCCTTTACCTTATGAGCAATTTTTTTGGCCCTAAAGGCACATTCACATATGCTCACTCTTACACCTCTCCAAAATCAGCCATATAATGGCTTTTAGTCGCAATCAATTGTTTCTTTGAAGTTGAAATGGTCTCTTTATCCACCATGTTTATGTTGCCTTTGAGCGTTCCCTCACACCAATGAGCTTCGTTCCCATCCCACTACCCTCCCACTGTTCTTTTGCGAACCCTCCGCAATCTTTTGGCCTTCATTTCTGTTCCCTCCTTCCTCTTCCTGCAGACCCTGCCAAGCCCACTTGTGTGATCACAGGTCTACCAGCAAAGTACGTTTCCACTACTCTTCTCTACACCACCTCCTACTGCTGCTGCTGCTGTGTGTGTGTGTGTGTGTGTGTGTGTGTGTGTGTGTGTGTGTGTGTGTGTGTGTGTGTGTGTGTGTGTGTGTGTGTGTGTGCGTGTGTGGGTGTTTCAACATCACTTGAACAGCATTTTTCTCCAATAGCGATTTTTTCCACAATCAATTCAGCTACCAGCAAACCGGTTAGCCAAATGTTCTGACTTGAATTTCCAGGTACCGAACACTATGGACGTTTTGTTATAGAACTGTCAAATGTCAGTAACTTGCGTGGAATTTCCTCTTCTCTTCCCACTATGCAGGTACCGAGACCCACTCACAGGCCAGCCGTACGCCACTATTAAGGCCTTCAAGGCCATTCGCCAAATGTCAGTGAATCTTTTGCGGTTCCAACTTCTTTTCTTCTTTTATGCACATAGCCAGTCCATGCATGCGGTTTGCCAGTGCATGCGCCTTGCCAGTCCCTGCCAGAGCCCACTGGGATGGCTATGTGCATAGCCAGTGCATGCGCCTTGCCACTCCATGCATGCGCCTTGCCACTCCATGCATACGCCTTGCCAGTCCCCGCATGCGCCTTGCCAGTCCCTGCATGCGCCTTGCCAGTCCCTGCCAGAGCCCACGGAACTGTGATGTAAAGACGAAAACGTCTCACCATTTCTCCGAGGTGACTTTTTAGTTGACTGGAAAATCGCCTTGCCAGTCCCCGCCAGGGTGCACTGGGCTGTGCTGCAAGGAACACAACTTCACTCTGTCCCTCCGTTCCCCTATTCCTCCTTACCTTGCTCTGTTGTTTTCCCATGCTGCTGCCATGCCATCCCCAACGCTCGTCCCTCCCTTTCTCCTTTTCTATTCCTCTTTTCCTCCCGCCCTCCGTTCATCTCCCTCCCTTGCTCTGTCGACCCTCAGATGGCAGGAGGAGCAAGCAGCAAAGAAGATACTTCCAGCCAGGAGCCACCGGCCGCTGCTGCTGCCATTTCTAACGCTCAAAATTTCTCCATTCCTCTGTTCCTCCTTTCCACACTTCCTGGCTCTGTTGGCCCTCAGATGGCAGGAGGAGCAAGCCGCAAAGAAGAGGCTGAGGAAAGCGGCAAAGGCGGAGGCGAGAAAGGGGGCAGAGGCAGGCATGGGAGGGAAGGCAATATCCCAGGAGGGACATGGGTCACAACAGGCTGGAAATGATTATGATAGACAATTAGGAAACCAACTCTTAGCCAGTAGCAAGGGACGGACTGTGTTGAATAGTGCTCGTGTTTTGCCTGCTGCTGTTGTTCATGCTTCTAGGATCCCAGGGACAAAGCATAGAACAAGCTTGTAGATACTACGGCAAGTGAGCAATAATGCATTAATTTACGCAGCTGTTGTGATGGGTGGAGGAGGCACATGATGCAAGGTGATATTGTAGCATGGCAACGGCCGTGTGGAAGTTTTTTCTTATTTCTTGTACATGTTGAGCTGAGTGCAGTGCAGAGCGGAAGAGAATATATTTATTCCACACACAAGCACACACACACATCTACCGTCATCGCCCGGATATAAGACATATATGTCTTATCTCGTACACGGGCAAAAATGCTTGAGTTATCTTGTAAACGGGATGGTTTAGGGTGTCTTATAAGTCTTATAAATGGAAAAAAAAATAAGTTGACTGTAACACTTGCAAAGTGTGTAGAAACAACCCAAAGACCAATTTCATTTAAACAGGCCGACCTCGGTGGTGATGCATGCAGCGCCCACACTTTCCACGTGAGGGAGCTGCCACCGCTGGCAACATTCCTCTGTGCTGGCAGCATCATGATGCCAGCGTCGTTTTGCTGCCAGGAGCGCATGGATGCTTCCAGAACGCTGCTGGCAGCACGTTGGCAGCGTGAGGGCTGTCCTCTACGAGGAGATGCCTCGTAGAGGAGCGGCTCGGCACCTGTGGATGGGGCACTCTGGCTGGGGGGGGTAGTCGGGCTCTCACTTCATTTCGTGCTCAAGGAGGTTGAATACTCGTCTCAACCTTGCTCTCGGCAGGCTCTCTAACCATGCGCAGCAAAGTACCAGTAGGCAAGTCCTCACCTCGTCCTCACGTGCAGGTTAATAACTACGGGCGAATTAACTCGCCCGGCGATGACATCCGTGTAGCCATGGCGAAGAACGCGAGCAAGGCGGCAAGTCCTACCGCCGCCTCCGGTGCGAGCTGTGACGGGGACGAAGCGAACGGCGACGACGCCGAGGAGGATTGGCCGGAGAACGGCCACGACGACAGCGCTTCAGGCGACGATGTAGGTCCTGCTGACATCGAGGAGGACGACTGGTGGAATCGGCCGGTCGGGAGCGACGACGAGGTGGAAGAGTGGCATGTTGGTGATTCCGACAACGACGGAGGTAAAGATGCGCATGGTAACAACGCGGAGGCAGCGGCGGATGCACAGGAAGCGACGGTGGATGCGAATGAGGAGGCTGACGACGAGGCGGGGGCGGAACTTGAGACATTTGCGCCTGCGGATGCGACCGCAGTTGCGGATGCGGAAGGCGAGGAAGGCGGCGACGACAACCCATGGAGCTTTGGGACCGACGACGACGTCCCGCTACTGAAGCGGAGGCTGCGCCATCGCCTATAGTCCAAGTCAAAGCGGGCCCGCGTGGTGCTCTCTGACGACGACGGTCCGGGGGAGGAGCGTCGCCCGATACTCACCGCTGCGGAGAAGGGGAAAGCCAAGGTCGCGGAAGCCCCTGCTAAGGCCCCTGCTAAAGCCCCTGCTCGTCGCCGCACAAGCAACAAGAAGCTGACATCCGACGGAGACCCGGGATCCAGCAAGGGTGCGGCTAAGAAGAAGGCGAAGAAGGCGCCGAATCCTGACGACATCGTCGTGAACGAGCCGCTGGGCAGCGACGATGAGTACGCGGCGGCGGCGGGCCCGATTCCCACATTCCCTGAGAAGGTAACGCCGAGGGACCCCACCCTCCATAATCCCAACACCCGCCCACCTTCCCCTCGCAGCAAAGACACTACGAAGAAGCGCCGCAGTTGGACCGTGCGTGAGAAGCTTAAGTGGGCGCGCCGCTATCAGGAGCTCGGCTCCTTGAAGAAGACGAGCGTGGAGTCAACCGCGTCCATCGCCTGCATCAGACGCTGGTGTGCGGAGGCTGGAAGCGGGCGTCTACAAGGGCGCGGCCAACTGCCGCAAGCGGATGCACAAGGGGGGGCGCCACTCACACTACCCCGACATGGAGGCAGCGTTGTACCGCTACATCTGCCTTCAGCGCGCTAACGGGGTGGCCATCTCGGTGAAGGTCACCCAGAAGTGGAGCCGCGAGTGGATGAAGAAGCATTACCCCGGCAAGAACTGGAACGCGAGCTCTCACTGGAGCCACCGTTTCCGTGACCGCTGGAACCTGGTGATGCGGGTGAAGACCAAGGTCGGCCAACGTCTGTCGGCAGGTGCGTGTTGAAGGATTTCGTCTGGCGCTCTATTGAATGCATGTACCTCACCCAGTGTCTAACCATCCCGTGCTTTCGTTGCGCTTGTCCCGTCTGCAGAGTGCGCGAAGGACTGCGAGTCCTTCTGGAAGTTTGTGCGCATCAACAGGGCGCGGCACAAAATCGACCTGGCCCGCATCATCAACGCGGACCAGACTCCACTATTCGTGGAGATGCCAGCCGAACGGACGATCGAGCACCGTGGCGCGCGCTCGGTCCCAATCCGCACTGCAGGCTACCAGAAGACGCGCTTGACGGTGATGCTCGCGTGCACTGCATCCGGGGAGAAGCTGCGGCCGTGGGTGTGGTTCAAGATGAAGAACGTCCCCAACTGTGAGATTCCGGAAGGTAAGCGAGCGTGAATTCAACCGTGCGACTGCCTGATGAGCGTGCCCCACTGTGCTGATGCCCGTCTGTCCCTTGTGTGCCTGGCAGGAATCGTGGTCCAAGCACAGGACAACGGGTGGATGGACGAGACCGCTGTGCAGACCTGGCTGTCCAAGGAGGTGCTGCCCCATCAGAACCCCCAGCGCGGCCAGAACGCAAGGCAGGCGATGCTGGTGTTGGACTCCTACCGCGGTCACATCACCCAGACCATGCTTCAGTCGTACCGCACGCACAGCATCACCCCTGCAGTCATCCCAGCGGGTTGTACAAGCCAGATTCAACCCCTGGACGTCTCCATCAACCGGTGCTTCAAGGCTGCTGTGCGAGCGCGCTACGCCATATCCGAAGACGAAGAAGGGTGAGTTGGTCCTTCATTTACGGTTTTATTCATGTTCTGTTTCGTGTCCTTGTCTTAAACATGCTCCTTCATATCCGTGTCTCTTACATCTCGCTGCCCCGTCCTCTGTCCCACCCGCAGGGAACCTGCGGAGGCCTCCGCACCCCGTGGTGCTGCAGTGGATCGCGGAGGCTTGGGATCAAGTCCCCAAGCAGATCATCATCGACGCGTTCCGCCACTGTGGGATCTCGAGCAAGCTAGACGGAACAGAGAACCACCTGGTGATGTCTCACCTGCGCGCCAGGAGCACCACCGATGTCTCCGCGGACATGTCTCTCGGGGGGACCACAGGCGACAACACGTGCCTGCTCGGTCGGGCTCCAGAGGAGGAGGAGGAGGAGGCGATGCAGGCGGAGGGCGTGCGGGAGGTGGCGTGGCAACCGGCCTGGAGGTGCTGTACCAGGAGACCCCCAACTACCGCGGAGCGGCGGCCAAGGCTGACCGCATGGTCGAGCCTAGGGAGACGGCTAGGCATGCCTAGCGAGTGCCAGACCTGGGTGTAGAGCCTGATGTTAGTGCAGGTGAGGAGGCGGTGACTGAGGGGGGTTAGGTAGAAGTAGAGATTCATACTGTATGCATGTACCCCCTTAAAGTAGGAAAGCTAGCTAAGAAGACACCCCCTGTTTATAAGAAAACCCCTAAACCCTGGTTCTGATTATAAGACATATGTCTTAACTCGTACACACAAATAGGTGTCGTATAAAAAGGCTAGCTTGTTTATAAGAGACACCCGTATAGTAGACAACCCCTGTCTACTATTCAACACTGTCTTATATCCGGGCGATGACGGTACATAACACAAACTTGTTGGAAACAATAAGTCCTAAGTGCGCTTCTGTCGTATCAAAATCCAAGGTACCAAGCGAAGCAGTCCCAATCGAAGCATCGAGTCAACCTCGGAGGTTAGGGTAACCGCCTGGAGGTTACGAGAAAGTCAAAGGTCGCTGACCTTTGACTCGACAATTACAGCGCGACAGTTAAGGACACACAACTGACTCGTTACAGAGCAGTTGCCCGAGTCGCGCTATATCGAACCGCAACAGCAATACAGTTATCTATCTATTCCCTGTACTCTTATATAAATCCTTGTATTTGCTTGTTTAATTCAATCAACTTTGCTCTCACACACCAGTGCAAGGTCGGTTCAAATTCTTCACTAAACGCTTCCGCTATTACAACTACTTCACCTAGAGTTATCCCTTGCAAAGATCCTAAGGGGCTATCTCAGCCCAACATGGTATGAGAGCAGATAAGGGAAACTCTACTCTTTTTTCAATATCATTACAAGACATGGCAACAAACAAGGAAAGGAGCTCCCCTAATGGCTCCTCGGGCACTACTCCTACTCCACCGCCAGCCTCTGGCCTGCAGACAGAAGAAGGCACGGCAACAAGACCAAGAGGAACGTCAACCGAGACCCCCATGAACCACCCTTCAGACTTTGACCAGAACATGATGGAGAAATTTTTCTCCTTCATGTCCTTCTACGAACAACACCAGCAGTCGGGACCTGCACAAACACACAACAGCAACAACGGAGCGACACCCATGAGTCTTGATGGGTCGTCATATGCGCGAGGAAACCAGCAGCAGCAACCTACCTTTGCTCCGTACGAGCGCGGGTCAATCAGCTTTTACTCCAACTCCGACGCATATCAGCGTTCACCTGGACACCGCGCCTCTGAAGAGATCTGGCACGCACGAACAGGACATCCAAGCAACACGGTTTTGAATAACACGATAAGAGCAGGAGTCCTTGACAAAGATTCTCTACTTCTACCCGATGGCAGAGAACTCCAGAAGGCACGAGGGACTTGCCTTATATGTCCCGAAGCTGACTTACCTCATCGACCGTTTGCTTCACATCACAACCCGAGCGCTCCAGCGTACGCACCACTCGAAAAGGTCTACAGCGACATCCTCTACAATCGCGAGCCAGGACAAGTCAACTACAACTACACCATCACCTTCATCGACGCCGCCACTCGATACGTCTGGCATCGCAACCTACCCAGCCGCGACATGGCGCTCGCAGCATTCGCCGCCTGGCTACCGATAGCAGAGAGAGAGTCTGGAACACAACTGAAAAATTTCCAGTCAGACGGAGGTGGCGAGTACACCTCTCACCGCTTCAAGCAGTTCTTGGCGGAAAGGGGGATCAAGCAACTCCTCTCCCTTCCCTACGCACATCAGCAGCAAGGTGTTGCAGAACGACTGAACAGGACCCTGCAGAACAGCATGCGCAAACTATTACGTGGCATGCGGCTACCCAACCACCAGTGGCCAGCAGCAATGGACCACGCTGTCATGCTACACAACTTGTTGTCGTCGTCGTCACTCCCGAACAACGCATCACCGCATCTGCTGTGGACAGGGAAGCAGGGCAGCACGAAAATGTTACGAGTTTTCGGGTGCATGGTACAGTACAGACCCCCAGAAGCACGAGCGGGAAGATTTTCGCAACGGGCACAGTGGGGACTACACCTCGGCATCGAGAAAAATTACAACGCATGGAAAATCTTCGACGTCCACACAAAGGAAACAGTAGCAGCACGTGACGTGATCTTCTACGAAAGACTCACCCTTCAGACGTACCTCGCCAACTTGCACGAGAATCGGGACCTCACCAGTGGTTTTCGTGGTGACCGAGCCTTCGCGTCAGCAGCGGACGAAGCAGACTGGGATGAACAGAACGTCGACAACGCCTCAGAAGAAGCCGGACCTCTCCCATACTGCTCCGTCGACGTGCCCATGGATGAGGATAATCCTCGCGACAGTAACAACGCCGAAATCTTCTACCGCTTCGCCGACGATGGTTACGTAACACCTGTGACAGTCAACACCAACGAAGCAGAAAGGGTAGGGCCAAATTTCATGCCCGACCCAGAAACGGGAGACGAAGCAGCTTATCCAGAGGATCCAGAACTCCCTCGATACTCACAGACTGGGCTGCAAATCCTCGGCCTCGTCACCGCAGTCCACGGGAACACACGCAGCTCGCTTCCTAAGGAGCCTGCAACGGTTCAGCAGGCTCTGGGGGGGGAACACAGGGAGAAATGGCGTGAAGCCATGGATAGAGAACTGAAGGCATTAGAGGAACGCAACACTTGGAAGGTTGTTCCCGTAAGCGTGGCACGGAACAAAACCATCCTTACCGGGAAATGGGTCTTCCGCATCAAGACGAAAGCAGACGGCACGATCGAAAAATTCAAAGCACGCTGGGTCGTACGTGGATTCGACCAAGAGCAAGGACGAGACTTCACCGAGACCTTTGCTCCAGTCAGCCGCCACACGTCACTCCGAATTCTCCTCGCCATTGCCGCCATGAAGAAGAAGAAGTTACGGCAGATCGACGTCGCGAATGCCTTCCTCTACGCACCTGTGGATGCAGAAATCTACGTCGAGCTCCCGCACGTTTCCCACGGCGAACCCAACCGAATCTGTCAACTACTTAAGTCGCTCTACGGGATCAAGCAGGCACCGCGACTGTGGCAGCAGTACCTGCACGCCCGTCTCATCCGCATCGGCTTTAGTCAACTACCTCACGACCAAGGCATGTACCGCCTCACTAAGGGAAGCGACTACGTTCTCCTGATCGTCTACGTGGACGATCTCCTCTACATTGGGTCAACCGACGGCATCGCCACGTGGTTCGAAGGAGAGCTCCAGAAAGACCTCACGCTCACGGTCTCCTCCACCGTTACACAGTACCTCGGGCTCAACATCCGCGAAGAAGAAAACGCCATCTATCTAAGCGCCGAGAAATACGCCGACACCATCGCGAAACGCTTCAGCCTCACACCAAGCGCCATCTCCACGCCCTACCGCTACACATCAGGAACCGAGAAGGAACGAACTACTCTACTCAAGCCCGCCGGCATACGCGACTATCAGAAGAAGCTCGGATGCCTGCTATTCGCCGCCGTCACCTGCCGTCCTGACTTATCCTACTCCGCAAGTCAGCTCGCCACCTATCTCAAGAAGCCTGAAGCTGAACACCTGGCGGAACTTGATCGCGCTCTCCACTACTTCGTCAGCACCGCGACGATCGGGCTAACCTACCACAAGAGCGCAGCTACACCGACTAAGCTAATCGGCTACGTCGACGCCGATCACGCCGGCGACACCGACAACAGGCGCTCACGCACCGGCTATGTCTACCGCCTTGAGCCTATCGGTCCTATCTCCTGGCAGTCGAGCAAGCAGGAGTTAATCGCACTATCTTCAGCAGAAGCAGAATATATTGCACTCTGCTCAGCCACCAAGGAGGGACTTTACCTTCGCGAACTACTGGAAGAAGCGAAGCTAGCCGAGTTACCCAGCTTCACCGTGTTCTGCGACAACCAGTCAGCAATTCGCATCGCCAACAAAAACGGCTTCGCAAACAGGACGAAACACATCGCCCTGCGCTATTTCTTCGTGAAGGACGAGATAGAAAAAGGGAAACTCGATCTGTCATACTGTCCAACATCCGAGATGGCAGCCGATTACTTGACCAAGAAACTCGGCAAGCAGAAGTTCGAATACTGCATGATGCTGACTGGACAAGGCCACGTCACCAGCAGTAACACTCCAGAAGCGAAGGGGAGTGTTGGAAACAATAAGTCCTAAGTGCGCTTCTGTCGTATCAAAATCCAAGGTACCAAGCGAAGCAGTCCCAATCGAAGCATCGAGTCAACCTCGGAGGTTAGGGTAACCGCCTGGAGGTTACGAGAAAGTCAAAGGTCGCTGACCTTTGACTCGACAATTACAGCGCGACAGTTAAGGACACACAACTGACTCGTTACAGAGCAGTTGCCCGAGTCGCGCTATATCGAACCGCAACAGCAATACAGTTATCTATCTATTCCCTGTACTCTTATATAAATCCTTGTATTTGCTTGTTTAATTCAATCAACTTTGCTCTCACACACCAGTGCAAGGTCGGTTCAAATTCTTCACTAAACGCTTCCGCTATTACAACTACTTCACCTAGAGTTATCCCTTGCAAAGATCCTAAGGGGCTATCTCAGCCCAACAAAACTAAGCACACGACAAAAAAAAAAAGGAAGTCAACACAATAACTCACACATCTACAATAATCAAAGAAGCACACAAAGAATGGCCCAAAAAAGGGCAGCATCGTCATGTATCCCTCCCTGACACCAGGCTAGTAGTGCACGCAGGCTAATGTAAGGCTGCAATGCAATGCATGACAGTGCGCAGCAGAGAGATGACACAACACCCTTCCATTGCGCTGCAAGCCTGCAACACTCAAGATCATACCCTTTCATTGCCTTCCAGCCCTTCAGATGAAGCAGCAGCAGCAGCAGCAGCAGCAGCCAAGGCTTATATATGTTTCCTCATTGCAGCAGCACAAGCCCTCACACCTTCTCCTGCAGCAGCAGCTCCAGGCTCACTGTACTGGATCGCTCAAGTCGCGATGATGGAGAAGTAGGAGGGAAGGGAGGAATGAGAGGGGGAGAATGGGGAGGAGCGGTTTGTTGACAATTCTCCATGATACCACTGGCACCCTCCTCTGGCTGTGAAAGGTTCTTCCCTGCCCTTGCTAGCTCCTGCTGCGGCTGCGATAAGTGGTGCTCGGGCCGTGATAAGCCATGGTCTCGCCTCGATAAGTCGTTGTTCAGATCAAAGAGGTCCAGCAGGGCGTGGTGAACAGCTGACGCCGACTGCTTATCGCAGAGAGAAAGGCCGCGCGAGAGGGCATTCGGGTGACTGTATGGGGCGGCGGTGTTTCCCTGAAAGAGAGGGGTGATGGCTCCGTAAATGTGCTTCACTTCTGCTGAGTCTAGTGAGTCCACCCTCTGCTGCTGCCCTTTGCTGTTGCCTGTATGGGTACACCCGTTTGTCGCAAATCCGTTTGTAGCACATCCGTTTGTAGCACGCCCGTCTGCAGCATGGGAATCAGCATGGTGCTTCCCATTGCCCTCACAGTCATTCACAGCTTGGCTCTGTGACTCAGCCACAGCAGAAGCCGCAGCATCGGAAGCAGAAACATCAGCCTGCACTGCAGTAGTCGGGGATCCTAGCGGAGATCCTTGTAAAGGAGATGCTACTAACGGAGATGAACCTAAAGGGGAAGCTGCAGATCTGCCGTTGCTGTTGTTATGCCCCATCCACCAGTCCTTGCCCTCCCCATGTGCCAACGCCACAGCAGCAGGTGCATCAGGGGACGCAGACTGAGGGGGGGATGAAGCAGGAGCGGTAGGAGCAGCAGGAGTGGCAGGAGCAGAAAGAACAGCAGGGGGAACAGGAGTAGCAGGAGCAGGAGAAAAAGGATGAGGGGCAGAAATGGGATCGGTGGGAGCAGAAACAACAGCTGTGGAAGCTGGTGCAGTCATAGCAGCTGCCGTTGCTGCTGGTGCTGCTGCTGCTACAGCTGCTCCTGCTGCTGCTGCTGGTACTGCTGGTGCTACTGCTGCTGATGCCACAAGAACCTGTGAGGGACATGACAGCCCACGCAGAGCACCTACTGCCATCCCTCCAACTTCTCCTGCCATACCACCAGGTGCTATCAGCCCTGCAGGTGCTGTGAGGCTGGAAACAGGTGGTGTGAACGTTGAAAGTCCAGCAGAAGCGAAGCCACCACGGCCTGTGAACCCTGAGAGGTCAACTCCAGCCATTCCTTCACTCCCCTTTCTGTCCATTCCCATTCCACCTGACAACATCCCATCCCCTCCTGTTCCAGTGAACAGCATAGTTTGATGCGTGTTCTGCTGCTGCTGCTGCCACTGATGCTGCTGTTGCTGCTGTAAGCTCAGCTGCCGCTGCAAGTTGAGGTGTCGCTGCAAGCCCACCTGTGGCTGCATGCTCAGGTGACGTGGCAGGTACGGATTGGCTGGCAGCTGCAGAGGAGGAGCAACGCCAGCCAACCAGGACGAGCAGCTGACATCAGCAGCTGCCAGGAAACTTCCGCTTCCACTGCTGCTGATGCCGTGAAAAGCATTGGAAGCGGCAGGTACTGGCGTGTTGGTGGCAGCAGTAAGGTTACTGGGAGACAGAAGGACACTACCTGACGAAAGAGACCGGTGGGACAGCAAAGGCGCGGTGCTACCAGATACGAGAGCACTGCTTGCTCTGTTGAAATCACCTGACCAGTCACCTGACAAGACACCTGACCAGGGGAGGTGGTGGAACTGCGGAATCTGGGGATACTGCCTGAGAAAGGAGTCATCTAGGGAAGCAGAGACACCCAAAGGGGGAAGGTGGGGAGCAGAAGAGCGGAGTGATGTAGCAGCAGCAGCAGCAGCAGCAGCAGCAACTGTAGCAGCTGTAGCTGTAGTGTTGCTGCAGGGAGAAATGAGACCATTAGTGGTTGTGGTGGTGCCAGGGCTTGTGTTTTGAGAAGATACCTTTTCAGCATCAATATCCATGGCGGAAGGCTGGGGCTGCAAGGCTGGCAGGACTCTGCCACTGCTGGTGCGAGGGAAAGCAGCTGGAGCTGAATGGTTGGTCTGTCTTGGCTTCTTGCGCCCATCCATCCACTCTCTCTGCTCCCTCTCCTGCGCCTGTTCTGTCAGCTGATTGTTCTGCTGCCTGCTGTTGTGCCAGCCGTTGTGCGTCTCTGGTGGGAGCATCAGCAGCAGCTCAGCCTGCTGTTGCTGCTGCTGCTGCTCCCGCTGCAGCTGCTGCTGTAAATGCTCAGACTGAATGCTCTGTCGCCTCTGCAGCAGCCCAGCCTGCTGCTGCTGCTGCTCCCGCTGCTGCTGTTGGTGCTGTTGGTACTGCTGCTGCTGCTCCTGATGCTGCTGCTTTATCTGTTGCTCCTGCTGCTGCAGCTGAAACTGCTGGTGCTGCATCAGCAACAGCCCCTGCTGCTGCTGCTGCTGCTGCTGCTGCTGCTGCTGCAGCGTCTGCTGTCGCGTCTGCCACTGTGCCTCCTCCTGCTGCGGAACAAACAGCAAGCCAGAGCGAATGCTAGGCTCGGAATGCACCCTCCTGTGCTGCTCCACCCCGCTGCTCCTCGGCTCAATGCCACTGCTTGCGTGTTGCGGCGCGTCGAAGATCCTCGGCTCAAAGGCGCTCGTAGTGTGTTGCGGTGCGTCGAAAACCCTCGGCTCAAAAGCGCTGGTAGTGTGGTGCAGAACGGTGGAGTGAGCTTGCATCGCCCTCTGCTGCTGCAGGCGCTGCGCCATGAGGTTGAACTCGCGAATGTCATCTGCATACTGTGCAACCAGGGAGAAAAAAACACAAGGAGAAATGGAGGAGAGCTCAGGTTTTTAACAAGGCGGCTCAGAAGCATGTGCTGCTGTGCCATGAGGTTGAACTCGCGAATGTCATCCCCGCACTGTGCAACAAGGGAATAAATGAGTAGCGGGCTTGTTAAGAAGTCCATTCTCAAGACGCGAGCCCAACGCACATGCTCGAACACAAGCCTAAGGCACATGCGGAAGACACACTTACCATGGCCAGATCAAAGTTGGTAACTGCCTGCTGGCCCCTCTGCCTGTAAACCAGCCATCGCAGCGACACGGAGGGAGAAAGAGGGGGGGGCGTAGGGACGGAGTGAGGAGGACATAATAGTCGGATCGGATTCCCAAAAGCCGCTTGCATTGAGATGTGTTTTGAGGCACCTCAATGGGAGCGCAGAGACGGAGTGAGGAGGACATAATGGTCGGATTCCCAAAAGCCGCTTGCATTGAGGTGTGTTTTGAGGCGCCTCAAAACACACCTCAATGGGAGCGCAGAGACGGAGTGAGGAGGGCATAATAGTTGGATTCCCAAAAGCCACTTCATAGCGACTTCATAGACTCGTACATGGTTGGCAGTGATTGGAAAACGCTCACCTCACAGCAGCCCTGTCATACGCCATAGCAGCTTGCTCCTGCGTGTCAAACAACCCCAGGTAGTCATATCGCTTGCCCTCCCTCAAACCTCCAGCAAACCTCTATGGCTGAGACCGAGTCCAAGAGTACGTGGTTGATTGGCACAAGGGTTTCTCACCTCCCAGCAGCCCTGTCGTACGCCATGGCAGCCTGCTCCTGCGTGTCAAACAACCCCAGGTAGTCATACCGCTTGCCCTCCCCTCAGGTAGGGTTCTTTTACAACATAAGCCACAGTGACTGAAAACCACTCACCTCACAGCAGCCCTGTCATACGCCATAGCGGCCTGCTCTTGTGTGTCAAAAAGCCCCAGGTAGTCGTATCGCTTGCCCTCCACATGCCCTATCCTCGCCTCCCACCGACCCTGGGAACGAGGGAGACGGGATGGGAGAGAAACGGGGAAAAGGGGTGACCAAACAGCCCCAGGTAGTCATATCGCTTGCCCTCCACGTGGCCAATCCTCGCCTCCCACCGACCCTGCAAATGGGGGAGAGACGGGTTGGGAGAGACAAGCGGAAAACTAGGTGATCAAATAAACCCAGGTAGTCAAACTTGCCCTGCACATGGCCTATCCTCGACCTCGCCTTTTTTTCTGCCCCATTTTTTTTAGTCGACTGAAGAATTATTCCACCTCGCCTACCTTCAGCACAACCCTACACCCTCACTTTACCTTCTGGTGTTTGGTCACCCCTCGGTACTTGGACGTCCCTCGAGCAAAGCCCTTGCTGTGCCGCCGCAGCAGCAGAATCAGCTCCTCTTTGGGAACGGCCTCTGGTGGGGTTCGGTAAGAGGGGTGATGGGATAGGGGAAGGATGGACGAAGAGGAAGATGAGTCAATCCCTGTAAGCACGCAAAGCACACAAAGGACCACAGTTTTTATTTCTTTCAACTGTCTGTTCCACCGCCTCTGGTGTGGCATGGCACGAAATGAGGGACAGGGAGGTGGACGAACAGGAAAATAACCTCTGGGAACGACATGACAGGCGGTATGTTTTTCTGTGTATCTTTTAGAGTCGACTCAAAATTCATCTCCTTTTGAGACAGGTCAAATGACGATCCAAAAAGACAGCTCACCTATCTCCTTGGTATACTCCTCAGGCGGTCGGTTCGTCTGTGCGTCTTTCTGAGTCGACTCAGAAACTTGAAACAACTCAAACGGTGACCCGGGAAGAAGGCTCACCTATTTCCTTGGTGTACTTGGTATACTCCTCAGGCGGGAAGTTTGTATGTGCATCCTCATGATTCGACTTAAAAGTAATCTCAGTTTGAGGCAACTCAAACAACGATTCAAAATGAAGCCTCACCTATTTCCTTGGTGTACTTGGTATACTTCTCCGGCGGTAGGTTCAGCTGGCATGCTTTTGAGTAGACTCAGAAGTCATCTCCTAATGAGACAGGTCAAACGACGACCCAGAAAGACGGCTCACCTATCTCCTTGGTGTATTTGGTATACTCCTCAGGCGGTAGGTTCGTCTGTGCGTCCTCGCCCCTGCACACATGACACCAGTGCGGCATGAGTAAGCAAGAGTGATTGCAGCCTTTGCGAGCATGTGCCAGCTTGACGAATTCATATGTATGGAAAACATCAGCTCAGCAGCATGTGTCACCATCACACCTCATCATTGCCTCCACATGATTGTATCTGGAGTGTCTGTGTCCTCACCTCATCTTGAGTGCAGCTATGTCATACATCAGTGCTGCCTGCTTCTCAGAACCGAATCTCATGTTACACACACACAGAAACACGCACACACGTGTGATTGATATCGTACATGCGTCACTCCTCACCTCATCTTGAGTGCTGCTATGTCATACATCAGCGCTGCCTGTTTTTCAGAATCAAATCCTCCCAGATACACCTGCCGCCCCTCCTCCCTGCACCCATCCATTCCCACATGACCAAGATACACAGAACGAGACACACGGAGAGGCACGTGAAGCGACACAAAACGGGACACAGAAGTGGGCACGTGGAGAAGGCACACAACGGAGGAACACATGGAAGAAAGCAGCTGGAAGAAGAGAGCACCCCACCATAGCCATTCTATCTGCAGCTCTTACCACTACCTAGTTAATCTTCCGTAAAGCATAGGCGCACATGCCAATGCCATAGCAACCTGACAAATGAGCAACCCGCACCATATATGAGCCTCCCACCGCCCTGTGCGGCAGTGGTGCGTCACCCCTCTGAACTTGGACGTGCTGTTGGTATGGCTCTGCACCACTACCGCCCCACATACACCGCATCTCATACTACTAATCAAACTGCCAGCTATCTCTCACAGCGCAGCTCACTCACCAGATGTGAGGAGCCTCCCAGCGCCCAGTGCGGCAGTGGTGTGTCACCCCTCTGAACTTGGACGTGCTGTTGGCCGGCCGCTCCCTCTGCAGTACTGCTGCTCCTCATACCTCTACACCAGATGAGGTGAGAAGAACTGCACTCACCAGATGTGCGCCTCCCAGCGCCCAGTGCAGCAGTGGTGTGTCACCCCTCTGAACTTGGACGTGCTGTTGGCTCTTCACTACTGCTGTCTCTGATACACATGCTGCAAGCATCCCCATGCACGGCTCCTAGTACCCCTCACTGCTTGCTATTCCCTCACAGCAATTCTCACCAGATGTGGGCCTCCCAGCGCCCAGTGCGGCAGTGGTGAAGCACCCCTCTGAACGTGCTCTTGTCTCTGCATCACTGCTGTCCCAAACACACACAGCTATGGCTACTACTACCCCTCACACTGCCTGCTATCCCTCCAGCACAGCTTCACTCACCAGACGTGAGCCTCCCACCGCCCGGTGCGGCAGTAGTGTGTCACCCCTCGGAACTTGGACGTGCTGTTGGCCGGCCGCTTCCTCTGTTGCCCCACATGCACATGCTGTAGGCACCCACATACACCTCAGAGAAGAGCTTCACTCACCAGATGTGCGCCTCCCATCGCCCCGTGCGGCAGTGATGCGTCACCCCTCGGAACTTGGACGTGCTGTTGGCCGGCCGCTTCCTCTGCACCACCCGCCTCGCCTTGCCCTTGCCTGCCTCTGCATTGCATGGCACGGAGGAGGCCGCGGCGAGAGACAGAAGCACAGAGAAGCCAGAAGGGAGGCTGAGTTGGCTTGAGATGCCTAGAATCTTGTCACAGGGTGACTCCTGTTGGCTTGTTGCTTCCTCTGCACCACCCGCTTCGCCGCGCCCTTGCCTGCCTCTGCATAAATTTGAACAAATGGGCGAAGCAAAGCAAGCACGAGGACAGAGAGGTAAAGTAACGAGCAAGCACCAAGCGCTGCTGACGGACCCGGTTGCAGCAACTGCTGCTTCTGAGACACGGCACGCATTATCCATGATCATGATTGGTGCTCGCCGCTTTTGAGAGCCCCAGCATGATTTTTTTGTCAACTCAGGCGACGGTTGCAGCAGCTGGTGCGTCTGAGACCGTACAAGCATTATTCATGCGAGGATTGGTGCTTACCGCGTTTGAGAGCGCCAGCATCATTGGGAGGGACGGCTCCCTCGCTACTGGTCACTCTGAAGGCCGTTGGGGGAGAGCAGGAGGCAAGTAAGGGAAGGAAAGTGAGGGGAGAAAACGGTGTCAGATTAAAGGATCCACAGGCGAAAAACTGGCAGAAATTATATCTCTAGTGGCTTGCACAAAGCCTACTGCGAGTCGAACCCCCTAGTCATAACCCCCTCCTCGTCTCAAGGCCCCTTTTTTTACATCTGGCTGTCCTGCCTCGCAATCGAAGATGATTCGCCATGCACACACAAGCTCGCTTGGCTTTTGAGTCGACTCACGATTCATCTCCTCCCGAGCCCCCCCCTCTCCCTTCTGGACCCCCTTCTACTTACATCTGGCTGTCCTGCCTCGCGATTGAAGATGACTCGCCATCCACACACGAGCTCGCCTGGGGCTTCTCAATCTCCGCCTCGATCCGACCAATCAGATCGTCCCACTCCAGCTCCTGAGGCGTCTCAGCCGTTGGATGCGCCAGCAGCATGCCGTGGATCACAGGCGCCATACCGCCAGCCGACCCCTCTTGGCCTGTGTTACATAAGGATGGAGATTCGAGAGGGCATGAGAGTGCTGTCAACAATCCAAAGCAGCATGCTTAAAGACAATTCAGACGAAAACGCCTCAAACTGGGTGTAAGAGGGTGTGAGAGAGCTGCCCATCCGCAGCATGCTGCAAGGTACGAATGGATTCCTCTACTACACACTCACCCTGATCTGGGCCAGCACCCTCTGATCGTCTGCCTCCCCACCACCACGTGAACTCGTAGCATGTTACAAGGTGAAAAGCCGTTCCTCTCACACACACTCACCCTGCTCGATGTAGCCGTTGAGGGGTTCGGGTCGCACGGACTGCAGAATATGGAGTGGCGGCTGAGCCAACACCCTCTGATCGTCTGCCTCCCCACCACCACCAAGTGAAGTCGCACCATCTCTTCCTGTCTCTCCTCCCCCGCCTCCACTCCCTCCGCCTCCTCCACCCACCATGTCGGCTCTGTCCATGCCATATCCACCACCACCATTCTTCTTTGCTGCTGCTGTTGCTCCGCCTTCCACCTGCTGCAGCTCCGCAGGCTCGTCACAGCTGCAGCTGCTCTCTCGCCCATGCATATTCCCGTCAATCTCTCCACCCACCATCAAGCCTTGCCGCGTCACCAACCCTTGGCCCGCAACAGAACCACCCTGATTCGGCTCAAGACAGCCAGGCAGCAGGGCCACTGCAGGTGGAATGAGCAGGCGGATAGCGCCCGTCTGCAATCCATTTACAGCCGCTCCTCCATAGGCTCCTTCCAGCACAGCAGAGTCAGCATGACCGTTAGTGTTGTCAGCATGGCCGTTGGTGTTGCCAGAATGGCCGTTAGTGCCAGCATGACAGTTAGTAGTGTCGTCAGCACAGCCGTTGATGTTGCCAGCATGGACGTTAGTGTTGCCAGCACAGCCGTTAATGTTCCCAGCATGGCCGTTAGTGTTGGTAGTAGTAGTAGTGTCTCCCACGATAGAGTTGTTTTCCTCAAAGATACTCTCAACTCTCTGGTGGTGGTGGTTGTGGTTGTGTGGACTGTGGTGGTTGTGACTGTGTCCATTGTGGTGGCTGTGATCCATCCCGTGAGCTGGCAAATCATCCGCCATCCCAGGGAGGGTAGAGCTAAGCGCATGCCCACTTCCAAGCATGTAACCACCACCATTACCACCATCACCACCAGCAGCAACACTATGGCCCTTACCCTTCCCGACCTCCCCTGCCTCCATCAAACGCTGGAACAGTTACCCTGCTATCACCAGCTGCCAGATGCGCTTTCTCCGAGGAGATGGAGTGAATACCACTATCACTCACTCCGCGAGCGTTTCTGGGAAGCGGAAAACTTAGGACACTCCCAGATTAGGCAACGAGGGAGGGACGGATGCCCGAGATACGTTGCACGAGGGACGGCTGTGACAGAACGAGGATAGCTGGGGTTGGCAAGCGGGACTGAGGGATTTAGCACCAGATTGAACTGAACGCAGCGAGGAAATGTGAGTTCCGAGGCCCGAGACTGGCACCTAAAAGGCTGGAAAAAATGCGCACAGTCAGTTGGCGCATCACGTGCAGCACAGACGCGGGCAGTTGCCCGAGAGGGACGCACGGGCGCTAGCTCGAGGGAACTCGAGGGATCTTGGGAAACTGAATGCTTGAACGGAGAAGGGAACCTTGCGGAACCGATGAATGTTTGAACGAGGAAGGAATCCTGTCTGAATCCTTTCACCTCGGATTGGCTCTCGAACATAGATGAATGACGGTACGAGGCAGCGGAGATGCAGCAGAAGCAGCTCGAGGTTGATAGAAAGAGTCCAACCGAGACAAGAGGCAATATGCAAAACGCAAGAGGCAATAGGCAGGAGGGAGGCAATGGTGCATATTGATCCATTGATTGATTCGAACTCGGCCGGACCGCGTCGACGGTCTCCAACCAAAGCAGATCCACGGTCACGATTGAGAAGCGTCACCGCGATTGAGAAGCATCGAGACCGACCCAGGCGCTCGATACATCCCGACGCGCGTCAGGAACCTTCTCGTGTCCTTCCGGAGAGTAAAAAACCAGCGATGCAAGGGCGATGCAGCCATGCCGCCCTTCTATGCACTCTTTCGGGAGAATATCCGGAGGCCAGGTGCGTGAAGCGTGTTTTGAGGCGCCTCAAAACACACCTCACTGCACGGAGAATATCCGGAGGCCAGGTGCGTGAAGTGAGCGGAGAGCGCGAAACGTGGCTGCATGCAGGCGCACGCACATGAGCCCCCGCGCCTTGTTGTACTCGAGAAACTCGTAACGGGAAACTTGGAATTGAGAAGCTCGTAAACGGGAAACTTCCAGTCGAGATTGGGATCTCCGTCCATTGCCACTTCCCGCACGAGGAACCTTCGTCCAATAAGAAAACCTCGACCGATTACAGCCCGTACGGTCAGGGAGAAGGCTTCCTGACAACCGGCTAATTGGACGGCTGACGTCAAGTCTGACCGAAGGATGACAGTGCCAGCCGGATCTGACGGGTGCGGTTGGTGTAGTAGGTGTGGTAGCTGTGGTCGGTGTGGCCTCGACTGCTCAACTGTAACTCTCGCTGTAACTCGCATCGACCTACCGGCATGCACGCATCTAATCGAGAGCTGCGGCATTCCCGTGCCTGATAGCTAGATGGAAGCCTCGGAGGTGTCGACAGGAGGACGCTCGAGCGATGGCTCATGGCGTCAGCTGGATCGCACGCTACTAATCGCAAGGTACGGGCTTCTATTGAAACTCGAAGTGAGGAAAAATCTTCTTAGCTGCCGACTCGATTAGGGAACCGCGTTGGACACTAGGTGAGCTGGAACTTTGAATTCCAGTATGGCTTGCACGGGACAAAAGTATGGTCTGTATGCGTAATGCTATCTGCAGTGCAATGCCGATTCGGTGAGCTCCATTAAAAGCTCTTGCTGCAAAGCGTAAAGCAATGGGATGGAAAATCTGTAAGTGGTCGGACCATCATTGTGAAAGAAGATATTCCGCAATCTCATCCCTATTTCTCATCGTACACGTGTCCGTTTATCAGGCGGCCTTATTCTCTCCCACGACCTCGTTTTCAAATCCCGAGGCTTCCTCATCCGCGTTTGCTATCGCGGCGCGAAACGCGCCAGACCTCAGTGCAGGGCGGACTTCTCGAGGACAGATCAGAAGGACCTGGGATGTTCATACGGCGCGGCTCGGGAAAAACCCCGCCCACGCCTTGGGATGCACGGGGCGCGGAGAAATCGCGGGGAGCGTGGGGCGAAGTCGGCCACCCAGGATCCCACCAGGTTTGGACCTAGCGCGGCCCTGCGTGGCTGAGTGAAACCCACCAGGCTGCCACCGAAAGCTCCGCGGCCCCCAGAAAACCGAAGGAACCCACCTCGTTCTTACGCGCCGATGCATGCGCGACTCGGCAGAAAACGAACGCGATTGGTCGGTAACATTGACGAGCGGGACATCCCGCGCATGCAACCGCGAGTTCGCGACACAAAAGGAGTGCTACTACTGGTTGTGCTCTCTAGCAACTTATCGCAAACAAAATTGGCACAAGCATAGGTTCGTTAACCCGCACAGCGAGATCCGGTTCGGTTACAGCTGGCGCGATCTGGTAGGCTCCATGCCAGCTGACACATGCCGCAATTTGAACGAGCCAAACAGCTGTCGCCGTTTCGTCGATGCGCGATCGCGGTAACGTGTCACGCACGTCCACGCAGTGTCCGGTCATTACGCCGAGCACGCCCACAGTTTCCACTTTCCGATCGCCAGTTGCACACCAAGCTCTACCCCCTCACGACCCACTGGGATACACCAGACACCAGTATCGCGGTCGCGTTGTGTGTCGCGCTAGAATTTCCGCGAGCACATCGGTCGCGAGGCAGACGCGTCTAGCTCACACTCGGGTGGACAACTAGTGACCGCACATCATGTTGACGCACGCTGTGAATACGAGTAGGTGCAATCTCGCACGCCGCATGCATACCGTGAATCGCGTTGCGCCGCCAATACTTCACGACTCAATCAATGCTTCGGGCAACACAACCGCGCATCAAATCCATAATGCTGAACCACCTACCGCTCCCGTGCATGGGGTGATCGCGCTCAACCCCACATGGAGCACCCCATACGTGCAGCCACTGGTTTTTGGGTCCCGGACGCCCACGTTTCACCCACAGCAACTGGTCAACGGGCTCCACCTAGCACCGCGGCCACAAATACCGTTTGCGGCAGCGGCGGTCGCGTTACAGAATCAACCGGGTAATGCGGTCGCGTCCCCGTCCGTGCCCAGTAGCCAGCTCTTTGGGATGCCCGTGCGTGGCTTCGTAGGGCCGCAGTACTCGAACGTGGGATTCAGGTACGGGTACATCGGCGTTCAACCAGACCCCATGGTGCACGCATCCGCATCTGTCGCGACGCCTCCTGTCGCGCCGTCAACACCATTCTCCAGCGCGATTCATCCGGAAAGCCACCCAGCGGTGCAAGCCCCGCCAGAAGCATTAGTTGTCGGTTTGGACACACAGGCGCGAACAGACGGCCCATCATCGAACGCGGTTGCCGGTGGTTTAGGTGAGAAGAAGTAAACGAGAGAATGAGTGAACTATGAACGAGGTGAGTACAAATAGGAAACCCTAATTGGGTTGTACCCCCTATGGGATACCCCACTATAGCCTACACAAATAAGTAAGCTATAATGTTCTGACACACCCCCATAGGCAAAGTGGGGGAGAACAAGGGGTCACAAGACCAGTCAAGCAAAGCAAAGCAAAGCTCAGGGTGGATCACAAAGTCACCACACATTCCGAGCACAAGTTCAAAGGCCAGAAGGCCAGTTCACATGCAAGATCATATATAGAGATATACAAGAGGCAAGCAAGCAAGAGCAAGAGTATATATAGGTAAAAGTACAAGCAAGGTCAAGAAGTGAGCAAGTGAGGCAAGGCAGGCACAAGGCCCAGCTGCGTGCAGCAGCGCTGATGATCACAAGGCGCAAGTGCCTTGGTGAAGACATCAGCAGTGTTGGCCTCAGAGGCCACGTACGCAAGTCGCAGCTGTCCACGCTGCTGTAGCTCACGAGCAAGAAAGTAGCGGAGAGCAATGTGCTTTGTCCTGTGCTCCAGTCGCTGCTCTCGACACAAGGCCAGCATGGCCTTGTTGTCTACGTACAGGACTGGAGGAGAACGAGGCGGCTCTCCAAGGTCAGTCAGCAGGTAGGTGAGCCAGCATAACTCCTGTGAAGCCATGGCCCCGGCGTAGATCTCAGCCTCACAACTGGAGCCGAGAACAGAAGACGAGCGGGTAGCCCGCCACGAAACAGAGCCGGAACCAAGACTGAAGGTGTAACCCTGTGACGACCGCTGCGTAGCCTGGTCGTCAGCCCAAGAAGCGTCTGCGTGCCCAGTGAGGACCACTGGACTGCGCCCTCCAAGCACTAGCCCCATGCCCGACGTACTGCACAAGTAGCGCAACACCCTCTTCGCTGCAGCCATGTGCTCTGGTCGGTGTCTCCCAGGAGCAACATAGCGTGCGAGAATGCTCAGAGGGTATGCAAGGTCAGGTCGTGTGCAGGTCATCATGTACATGAGGCAGCCAACAAGC